TCCAGGTCATTGATAAAGATGCTAAACAGTAATCTAGTTCCTTCCAAAATAGTATTCCAAAATTCTGACATCGGATCGGTATCCAAGTGCCACAAAAGTAAACTTTGCCAAATTGAGGCATGGTACATTGGCTTGTGTTTTCTCTGTTGCTGTAATTAACACTAAACTGCCTGGGATTAGTAATTAGTATGAATTAATCTTCTTCAAAATATTTCTGAAAACATTGCCTGATAAAGTCTCCTCTTTATCTTATTTATTCTTACCATTGTCTACTTTCCTTTATCATCTAAATCACAAGTTCATGACATGTGACAGTATTCAAAAGCCACAGTGAGAGCTGGTTTGGAATTCTTCTGCAAGAAATGGGTAAAATAGTTCCTCCCTAGAAAGTCTGAGACACATAATCAAATAGCTGGAGAAAAAGAGCAATATATAGCCAAATGAATTTGGTGGTGGATTTGAATAGTTTCATGTCATTGATTAAAAGATGATGCTGCACATTCAGGGGAATAGCATATTGGGAGCATGTGATCTAACAAGAGTGTGTCGGGGCAGAGTAGAAAAATGGCAGTTGCCATCTCTTGTTGCCACTATATAATCAGGTTTAATCCTGGAGCTCCAGGATGAAAGCTCCTCCTGGAAGGTGAGTGAGCCCTAATAAATGTGTTGAGCAATGCAGGTAGAAAATGAGCCAGGGCTAGGAAGGGTGGAGTTGCATATAGGAGAGACATAAAACTCTGCTTATGAATACCTTTGAAGATGAACACAAGTTTGACATAGAAAGCCACAGGAGACCAGTCTTTTGTAAGACCATATGGCACACATGTATATAAAATCTCCTCTTCAGCACTTCAAAGAGCTTAAAAATAAATGGATCTCTTTTCATTTAGTTCCTTGGAATTGCCTTGTACTCCCCCACTGGAAAACAAGCAGCGCAAAACCTTTCCATCCAAGATACCTACACAGCACCTTTTGACGAACGGGTCTAAATCGAGAAACCTCCCCAAAATGAGAGGTAGTGTGAGGCTATTTTTTATAAATACCTTGGGAGTTTTACTCAGTTGTTTGTAACCCCTCTTGAGTGCTTAATTCTAAGTCTGTTGTAAGAAGAAAGCTGTTCAGTTTGCTATCCACAGACTTGCTTTTCTTCTTTTGCTGTAATAGGTCCAAACAGTAAGTTAATGGAGAACAGGCCATCAGTATTAGCAAAATTTCTCCCCAGTGGTTCTGGACAGGAGCTAGGAAACACCAGCAGCTCAGAAGGGGAAAAGGATTCTCCACCACCAGAGTGGGACTCTGTGCCTCTTCACAAAGCTGGCAGCTGTAAGTAATCACTAGAGGATGACAGAATTAGTCTTCTGCAACGAATATCTGTAGGTAGGCTTGGTCTATTTATAGATCTTCCTGGGTTTTTTTTCACTGCATAGCTGTGCTCCCATTTTCTGCTGTGGGCCTCATATTGATAGCATCTGGTATGATTTGGGAGGTTTGAAAACCACATGGGTAGACCATGGGCCATTCCGCAGTTCTTCGGTAACAAACAGGATTCAGAAGCTGCTGGGGAAACTGAGGAAGTAAGAATTACCGCTCGAAAACAAATTATGTTTTCTACAGAAGATGGGGTTTTGCTTGGTCAAGTCTGCTGCAGCCAAAGTTGAAACTAATTATGTGATTTGGCCTTGAGAGGAAACACTGAAAATGCCTTAATGCAGTGGTTAGTGTGGGGCACTATTACGAGCTTTTTGGTTGCGTTGTTAAGTCCCTTGTGTGGGAAGCAAATCGCATTCATCTTGGTTGCATGTAAACATATTCATCCCTCTCCATAGTGCTTGCTTAGAAAGGTTCTTTCTTCGGTACAAATCAGTTTATCTTCGTGCTTTTATTGCAATACAATCTCTCTGAAAATAGGTAGTAAACCTGAATAATGATAGGTGAATATAGGGAATGAGCTGCCACTTTGATTACTGAGAACAGTCTTTGTCATTTTTCCTCAATTTGAACAGAAAGGATAGCAAAAGTTTGAGTAGCCTTTGTTTTAAAGTAAATACTACAGGAAGGTGTTTTGTGTTTCTTTTTATAGCTACGGACAACCTTTATAAACTCTCTCTACAAACCCTGAACGCAGATGCCTTCCTGAAACAGCGACAGCCTTCGCCGACACCCGCCTCTCCATCTCCTCCTCCTCTTCCCACATCTTTAGCCTTTGGGCCACGAGGAGGCACTTACAGCAGCATTGTGAACAGCAGCTGCAGCAAGTGAGTCCAAATCTGCACCTCCTACTGATTTCCCAAGCACAGAACACTTGTGGAACCCATGAGTTTCATATGGTGCATCTCCTTTTTTGCAGACCCATTTCCTCTTCCAATGGAAACTGCTTTTTTGCAGATATTACTTACCATGCTATTTGAATTGTTCTGGGGTTTCTTACAGCGTGGTAGATTGGAAAAATGTGCAATTACATGAACTGTTGTTAACATTTTAATGAATGCTAGCTTAAATTGCTGCTTTTTTTATCAAACTGATGAAGTTCAAAACCTTACTATTTTTTTTTCTTTTTCTCTTTCCCCTCCTTTAAGTGAAACGAAAAGCAAGCAGCCTAATGGTACCAAACATAAGCTGGCAAAGGCAGCTTCTCTTCCAGGCAGGAATGGTAACCCCACTTTTGCTGCTGTAGCTGCAGGTTATGACAAGAGCCCAGGTACTAGAACCAGTTTAGAGTTATAAATATTTCTGAGTATTTCATGAATATTGGGTTGGTTTTTTCTTCACTTCTTTTATATATGATATATTCTTGCAGGTGGCAGTGGTTTACCAAAGGTTTCTCCAAGCAAGACAGATGTTTCCAGCAATATCAGCGTTTCCCACACAGTTGTTGACAGTGATGGCTCTGACAGGTAATTTTTATAATCTCTAGGAAAATACCTAGGCCCCTGGAAAAGAAGATTGTAAGCTGTTAATGGCATTTTGAAGGTAGTGACAGAGTTCATTCTGGTTCTTTTTTTTTTTTTTTTTTTTTTTAAACGGTTGTTATAAGTCTGGGCATGGCATTTCTCAACTTGCAAAAAAATGTAGGACTTGTGAGTGACTCAGAAGTAGAGAGAAGGATGTTCTGGATGTGATGGAGACTCCCTTCCTTATTCCCAGTAACTCAACAATCTTGTGTTGCCCATGCATCCAAACAATGAGAAATCAACTTGGCTCTTTCAGTATTAAGAAGTGTGAACCAAGGTCACTTGAAATAGTTTACAGGCAGAATATCTTGCTGTACAGCAGTATCTTTCACTCCCAGTTTGAACACTGAGACCAGAACTATCACAGCACTTTGTGTTAGGAGTAGGAGCAGAACAGAGCTGTGCTCAGTCAGGCTCCCCAAGGCATGCTGTCGTTTCTGACATGTTTTGGCAGTGCAAAGTCTGTCTCAGTTGTACAAAGTAATGAACATTGCAACCTTTCTGGAATAGGAAAGAGACTTGAATTCAAGTTTCAATACACAAAGGAATTGCTTTTCTGAGCAAAGTTTGTGGGTGGGGTTTTGGTTTGGTTTTATAAATGTTTATCAGTGGTTCCAGTTACTCATCTGTAGTTTCAAGAAGCTTGCCCACAGACTGGAGCGTGAGCGTTTGTATGCCTTCTGAGTGGTTCTAAATTTTATCTGCTTGTCAAAAAAACTGTCCTATGGCTTAGACCCTATACATGTTCTTAAAAACTGAGCAAAAGAGCTACTCTCTGTGTTGGAGCTCAGTCTACAGATTAAAGAACATTATGTCTATAGCAGTGTGTTACTCCAAGGTGGGTACATACACAGGAAAATGGTATGTCACTGAAATCTTTTGTTAAAACAAAAATAAGCTGATTTTCTAACTCTTGATCACCATAAAAAAAAAAAATATATATAGTTAAATGGACATACACATTTGTATATAGATCAGTAAGTTAACATCATCGGTAGTACTGTGTTAATGAGTTGTGCGTTGCTTTCCCATTACTTCATCATATTTAGTTCGGGTTTGTGGAGTCCTATCAGCAATCCCAGCAGTCCTGACTTCACACCTCTCAACTCATTCTCTGCATTTGGACATTCTTTTAACTTAACTGGAGGTGAGTTTTTGTTTTCAGATATCTTCTATCTTCTGTATTCAAATACAGGTAAAGAAATGGTGTGTCTCCATTCCACTGGTCTAAGTACAGTGTTCCCATACGTAGGGAAGTGTGTTAAAAAATTGGTGGTGTATTCTGTGTTTCAGCCCTGGCATAGTTAGTGGAAACTCTTTAGAGTGTTTGTTGGGCTGGAAATACTTGGTTTTGAAGTTTCTCAGTCTCAGAAAACTTTCTTGAGATTTGTTTTTTCCTTAGTCTTCCTCCCCTCCATCCCTCCGCCTGAAGTTTTACACTCAGAAGTGTGCCACAGGGCCTGGGGTTTCCTGAGCACTTAAGACCTGCATTGCTCTATAAATGAGGCAATGGCCCATCTCTTGTGTTACTGTCCTCCTGCATTTTCCTCTAGCATTTGTATAGCTGCATGATGAAGTGATGCATACTAAAACCAGACATTAATTCCTGTACTTAAATATTTAGGTAAACTTTCCATAAGTGACTATTGGTGGGCCTCGATGCAGGCAGGCTATAGCGTACAGCATGGATATTCTGTATGCTTACTGTAGATTTGTATACCATGTTTGGAGATGCATGGTACTTTTTAAGTTGTCTGCAAAAGATGATCAGCAAAGGAAACTTTTATGTGGCCTTTGGAAAATAGATTGTATGTCTACTGAAAAAACACTGTCTACTGAAAAATGGTGGGTATGTGCAATCAACAGCAGCTGCTGCTGTGGGGTTCTTTCATCAGTGACACTTGGCACCAGACTTTGCAGGACAGCAGTAAGATGCCCGAAATCAGTTCTGTGTGCAGAGACCAGGCAAACAATGAGCACTGGTGCTGCCGTCTCCTTCTCTAGCAGAGGTGGCATCAGGGCTGGGGCACAGCCAGTGCCGTCTCCTGCCCCGGGAGTTACCTGGGAGGGGAGGGCTGCAAGGCACAAGAGTGCTGCAGCTATGAGAGGCTCCCTCAGCCTGGTCGCTTACTCCACCTGCAGTTCACTTGTTAGGAGGAATTGCCAGGACTCTCAGTATTGCTGTGCATCTGCCCAGTTCCCTGACTGTTTGCTTTTGGGTAAATAATGCCAGGAACCAAATAAATTTCATAGGTGACATTGAATTATACACAGTAAGTGTGTAACTCTTTTCCCCACTACAACCATGATTCTAAATTTGTAGCCACGGGCTTAGGGCACGTGAGATGAGATCTGTATTACTGTATGACCTTTTCTAATCTCTGTTCTTGCACTGCAGCAGGGCTTGCTAGAAAAGTATGGGAAATAACTGTGAAGAGTATTAGTCTGCTGTAGTTCTTGGAAACAGAGGAAGAGTAATGTACTCAGTTTTATTTCATTTTATTTTTAGAGGTTTTTAGCAAACTTGGTTTAGCTCGATCTGCTTACGGGCAGGATGTTCAGAGAAACTGGAGTGAATTCAATAACGTTCCATCATCCATCTGGGATCCTTCAGCTACAGACTCCGTACCCTCCTGGCCAACAAGCTCAAGTTCCCCAACTCATACAACTGCAGTAAGTATTCAGTCCAAAAGCAGTGTTTTATTATCGTACCAACCTGTTCTGTATCTGCCATCTGATTTTATTTCGAGGATTTTTAAATTTGGATTAAAAAACTCAACTGAAGAATAAAAGAAAAGGGAAGCTACACATATTCATCATTCAGTGTAGTTAAGCTGACATAGCTGTTCAACAGAGTGATTAGTCCGCTCACTTGAGGATGATGAATCCATGTAAATTTCTTCACATAAAAATATTTCTCACGAGAGCATCTTGCAGCAGTTACAAAAGTGTGTTCTTTTCCCATGTGCTTCAGGATTGTGGAAACAGCCATTCTGCTGCTGTGCCAGGGCTGGACACTACCTCTGTCACTTCCAGTTTGATGGACAGTTGCAAAGCAGCCAATATGATAACTTTCAGACTTAGATTCTGCTTCCTGAATCCAGTGTTGCACCTACTTGTAAATTAACTAAAGGTCAAAAAAAAAATTTATCTAAAAGACTTCAAATGTATTAGTTTCAGCTTAGAAAAAACACAAAAGTACTGAGTGTAAGGTGAAGCCTTTAAACTGGCTACTAATTTTCATGGAGCACTTGAGTATAGCCAAGGAAGAAGAAACAACTCTTACACAGATTGTAGCACTGCTCCCTCATCCTTGTGCCTGTCAGAATAAAACTTACACCACAACAGCTGTCTTCAGTGCCAGCTGAAATCGTTCTTCATCTTGTCTTCTGAAAATGTTTTTGTAGTGAGTAAGAAGCAGTGTTTACTTCTTCACCTGGTAGCAATTCAGATGGAGTGGAGAAAGGTGGGGGGCAGGGAAGAAGGTCACACAGCTTCTTATAGACACACACTCACTGATCCGCCCTTGTCATGCGGTTACAACTGTAGCTGTAACCTCACTAAAACTATGTAAGGAGAGATTTCTGCTTTTTGGTCACATGGAAAGCAGATTTCTCAGCATTTGATATATGGAGGGATTTAGGACAACCAGAACAATCTCTCTATCTCCTAACCTATTTCCTGGCCACTTCTGAAAAATACCAGTAAGTGTGCTTCAGGAAGCATTGAGACGGCAGCCAGACAAATGGTACAGAAGAATTGCCAGTTTCTCCCTTTAAATACTTCTGGGTTTTTTTGGGGGAAAAAAAAAGGCACTTTAGGAGCTTATTCAAGGAGAAGATCACTTAATAAACAAGCAACAGCAAACAGCCTGAAATGTTCAAAGCCTTTTTAATTATAGAGATTTTTTCAAGTGCTGGCAGCGAGCCAGAACTTTCATATTGGCTCTTCCTGCCACTGAACCTCCTTGCTCTGAGTGCTAGATAAGAGAGCAGATATCGGGCCAGGGTCCTGTTCTTTTCTCTCATCTGGCACAAGAGCCAAAGCTGTTCTTGCAAACAGCACTTCCATAGTGGCTTCTGTGTTACCCTCTTTTCTGGGAAGGTGTCTGGGCTGTTGATTTTGATCATTCTCCTTCCTTATTGCTCGTTACACATAAAATGGGAAAGCTCTTTGCTTTGTACTAAGTAGCATTTGATTTCTGGGTGCAGCCTCTCCTCAGGCCTTGCTGCATTGCCGGTACTTCTGCCCATGTTTCTTTCTAACCACAGCCCCTTACTCCTCTTTCCTCCATTTCCCTGTGTGTCATTCTGACTGACGGCCACTTGTACTTCCCTCTGCCAGCCTTGAAAGGGAGTAGCAGTCTAATCCAAGGTATTCTTCTCTGCCACTGCTTTCCTGTTTGCTTCTACTTTATCAGCAATTGCCTTTCTGTCAGGCTGTCCCAAACACTTTTGGGACATGTAGGAATACTTCCTGGCTCTTGCCCACAGGACAAAACAGAGTGGACTGTTAGTGTGTTAGGGATGGTGTCTGAGCAGCAGAATGTTTCCTGCTGTAGGCTTAGTAGTCTAATGCTTGTATAGCTTAAATAGAACCATTTAGTCATATAACAGTAATAAACTGTGACCCTAGTGTGGTTCAACTCTAAGTGACATTGGAGAGTCCTAACGACGTTGGCCTGGTTAACCCCTGAGTGTGCTCAACTCCTGTCCAACCCTCAGTATCAAATTCTTTGAGGACCCTTTGGCAATGTGTTAGTGTCCATCCAATTTCAGGTATGATTAGACTGAGCAGATCTTCTTCATTCCAGGGGAGAAAAGAAAAGCCTGAAATGAAGACATTTTCAGAGTTTACCTTGTTTACATTTCTAAAGGGATTTTTATTTTAATCTTCAGATCCAGAGTACACTGATACTGGTTAACCTTTAGTGTGCATTATCTGAGGGCTGAGATCTTGGGAAGGGATGCCCTATCTCCACCCAGTAAATCCAGACATAAGGATGTTTGTACCTTACAGCACATACTCAACAATTCCACTGCCTTTTGGATGTATCAAGTTTACTGTATATTTGCAAATTGAATTTACAGCCTATGTACATTAAATCTATTGGTGCTGAGGTAGGTAGTGTATTAAGCCTAAATGTAGCAGCTTCTGTGCTAATATTAGCATGAAAGTTATGCTAACCTTTCTCATCTCCATCTCTGGCTGCTTCCGGGTATCAATTTCCACCACACCATGGGTTAGATTCCTCTGCTTGTTGCTTGCTACTGTTTGGGCTTTAATAAAACAGTTGACAAAACCTGGGGCGTGTTCATTTCTGCATGTGTTCTCTAGGCTTGCTGTACCTGTCCTATGCATCCCAAATGCGTTTGTGACGTGTTGCAGCACGCCTGCATCTGCACCATGACCATTTGTCAGAGACTCCCAGATGTCTTGAGCCAGGAGAGACTTATTGGAACTCCATGACAAATGGCCAATTCTGAAATCCCCTCTCCCTTCATCTAGAGGAGTTCTGGATGGGGGAAAATGTATATACTGGGAATACAGTGAGGTACAGTGGGGCTGAACACAGGTAGGTTCATCCAAAATGTACAATTTATAACAGATATGTCTGAATACAAAGAGATAAGTTTGCAAACAGCCAAAAAAGGATCAAAGAATAGACTTAGCTGCTACCTTCCATTACAAGTTATATTTTGTTGGTTTTTTTGAGATTTGAACCATGTTTATTTACCTCATTCTAGCTAGTTAAATTAAGCTTGAGCTTTTTGGCCCTTGTGTGTTAAAGTCTGAATACTAGTAATGGTATGGGGATGTATAAGCTTAAAAGCCTGTAATGTAATTGCACTCTGCAGCCCATTCAGTTACCAGATGCGTTCAGTGACCATTAGTAGTGTGGTTCTTCTGGGCAAGCTCTCGTAAAAGGAGTTCAAAACTCCATGTTGCAGGGGAGGACGGAAGGGGTTCCACAGCAGGCTTTCTGCTTCTTAGATACTTTTCTTTCAGGGGGCTGTAAACAAGGTGATAATAGATGTTGCCGCACTGCTTACCTGGCTCTATCTTTACTGCAGTCAATCCTTGGCAACCCAAGTGGTCTGTGGTCCACCACTCCGTTTAGCAGTTCCATTTGGTCAAGTAACCTCAACAGTGGTCTTCCCTTCACCACTCCAACAAACGCGTTGTCAGGCATCGATCTCATGGGTAGTGAAAACTCCTCTGCTGCTCCTCCTCCGCCCACTGCTTGCTGAAGACATGGGACAGACCTACAATCCTTGGAGAATCTGGAGCCCAACAATTGGAAGAAGAAGTTCAGATCCTTGGTCTAATTCACACTATCCTCATGAAAACTGAAGTTAAGCAAAAGGAAAGAACTCTTATCCAGGTCATGATACAATTCTGAATACAAATTTTTGAAGCATCATTTTCAGGCTGTTGCTGGTCATTGGTCCCCACCCCTGCCCCTTTTTCCTCCATCAGTCATGCTTTTATCACTTGCTCCTTTTTAAAGTCTGTCCTGCAATATGGTAGTGTGAGATTGCAGATAAGCTTGAAAAAGTCTGGATGTGGTCCCAAATCCCAACTACAGCTGAAGCCTGTAGATCCAGACAATTTCACTGGTTTCATATTTTACCATCTGCCATCTTTATTTAGGAAACAATTTGATCTATAAAATGGTCATGGCATGCAATACTTTTATGAAAAGTACCGGCTTGGGTTTTAAATTTTTTTTTTCCAGTATTATCCTCCAAGTTCTAATTTAAAATCAAAAGGCACTTTGTGCTAAAATGCAGAGTATTTTTTTAAAATAAGGCTGTCTTTTGTTAACACAGGTTCTAAGAATGTAAAAAAAAAACAAAAACAAAAAAAAAACAACAAAACCAACACAAAACCTTAAGAGCAAAATGGCTGAATGTAAGAGCATTCTGTTGAGACTGTAATACACTTTCTGTGCTGTTTGTACATTTGTAAACCTGAATGCATTTTTAAGTTGAACTGAAATGCACACAGCCAAGACTTGTGGAAGAAACAAGATACCTTGTGCATTTCTTACAGATACAACTTTGGGTTGTACTTTAAAATAAATACTGCTTTTTTCAAGATCGGTCTGCTGCAATTCTGTTCTCTTGGCATTTTCTGAACTTGTGCGTGCATGAATCCACTTGGCAGTGGTAGCCTTCAGGCTAAAATCTACTGCAGGTAGGGCCTACATTAACAGAAACTTCACTGCAGATGAAACCTGGCTTCTCAGCAGCATGGGTTTGTATAGCAGGGGAGAATTAGAGATTGTTTTCAGTTACCCAGTGCCACCCACTCAAAAATTTGCTGGATGGTAAAATGTCTACACTGTTATAAGTTTCCAAGGCATAGTAGCAGCTGCTGCTGTTTATGCTATGCCCATACCTTTGTAACACTGTTCTTGGCTAGGTCAGAACAAGAACTTTACTATTTTTAGATATGATTTATCTGTCTCTAAGGTGCCTGTTTCCCTTCATTAACAGCAAGGCAAGCCCCATTGCCTACATATATTCATCTGAGCTAAAGCCAGGTAAAAAATTAAGCCTTCCATTACAAGAAAGCATTACTAGATAATAGCAACATAAATTTACTTATGACTCGGTGGCGCTGCTTAAAACTTACAGCAGCAGATTTTTATCAGAATCCACCCTTTAAAAGAGTAAGAACTCTATACCGTAGTTAAAACCTTTATCCTACCAGGAATATTATATGCAACAAAATATGAGGGTTAAATAAATAATTGAGACTAAGTGACCACTTTTCCAGCTCACATTATGTAAACAAAATCTCTGCAACTGTCAGATTCCTGTCTTCTTGCTGCCACCAGCAGAAGCTTCAAGATACAGATCTCTGAAACAGAAACCTGCTGGAACTCTTTTGTTCTTGAAATTTGGGTGTTTCTAGAACCATGCAAGGTCATGAAATGTTCAGCTTGGATTTGGATGTGATTTCCTTCTCAGTAACTGGGCAAACAAGTCTTGAACTGCATGCAAAATAAAGAATAAGTAGTTGAGCTCCTGACATGCCAGGGCTTGTTTCTCTGTAAATGAAACTTGGGAAGATAACTAGCAGTAACTTCAAGGTGAAAGGAACTGCTTAAAGTAATGTGCCACCTCTTCTTCCCAGCAGGTGTTTATATTAGAATTGATTCTGTGGAATACAGAAGCAGAAACAAATGCTGAGATACTGATAGTCCTTAGTGGCTTAAGCAGTTTTGCGGACAGGAAAATTTTTTTTGCTTTAAAAACATTTCCCTTTGAACAAGACAAGTAATTTAGACTTTTTCCCCAAAAACGTAAGCCATTCCCTTGTGGTAATGCAAATAATCTTTCCTACCTTTAGAATATTCTCAGTTCTTGCTTTTGAAGAGTTTCCTCTTGAGCACTAATTAAATATTACTTAAGTTCCAGGGGTGAAACAACCTGAACTATCAAGATCTTTGACACACCTTTCATTTTCATAAGAGAGGAAAAAGCACATCCTCCCCAAATTTATAAGGAAAATGTCCTAGGCCTAAAGACTTTGTACTTCTGAGTGTCCTATCTTCCTTCCCTCTACTCGGAAGTTAGTTTGGAGGGCACCTTCACTCTGTTCTGCCTAAAGACAGTGAAAGAGCTGCGTTAAAAAGAAGTCCTAATTGTAATTGACAGAATTGAGGTGAAATAAAATCTGGGCAAAAGTTAGGTATTTCTAAGGAAACTGCTGTGTGTGACATAGGTTTTGCTGCCTTCTCCCTGAGGTGCCTACTTGCTAGTTTTTATCATAGAATCATTAAGGTTGGAAAAAGAGCTCAAGGATCATCATGTCCAGCCGTCAACCCACACCACCTAACTCACTAAACCATGTCCCTAAGCACCACATCTACACGTTTCTTGAACACCTCCAGGGATGGTGACTCCACCACTTCCCTGGGCAGCCTGTTCCAATGCCTGATCACTGTTTCCATGAAGAAATTTTTCCTAATATCGAGCCTAAACCTCCCCTGGCACAACTTGAGGCCATTTCCTCTTGTCCTATCACTTATGGTATAGTCATTCTTTACATGCATTGAAAACACTTTTAAAATTGCTGCAAACGAGGTGAAGTGATGAGCCCAAAGTATCCACAAACATCACAGAATAACAGAGAGGACAAACGTCTTATGATGAGGTTAAAAAAAAAAAAAAAGAAAAATTAGTTTTTGGCAAAGCATGTGTAAAGTCTTCTATGGAAATATAGATGGGGTTGAAAATGTTGCAGCCTGCTTGAAGGACAACTTAAGATAAAAGAAGTAAGGACAAAAGCTCAGAAGCAAGAGTGGACTGTGTTTTCAAAAGCCGAATGAACAAGACTGAAGGTCAGACCATGAGGGAAGTTCCATCTTGAGTAAAAAGACCACAGGAAAAAAAACACCTTAAAGTGCTTGGAAGACAAGCCGTCCTGGAAACCAGGGAGCTCACAGCCCTTCCGATAATTTAAAACATTTATTCAGAATGGCATCAGGGCCAAACTACCATGGATCAGCTCTTCTCTTCCCGACCTGGAAGCTACTGGGAATACAAAGTTGCCAGCAAGGAAGATAAATAATTGCTGTTAATTCTGGTAATTATTTTGGTGCTCCAAATGGGCAGTTCTGTTCTGCCAACTCTAACCAATAGACTTTAAAAGCATGAAAGCTTCTGGCCTATTAGAAAAATCAGAAAGCCTGAAGTAGGTAAGTATGGCCCTAACATGTGCAATCAGTTTAATTAGCATGAGCTCTATTTCAAAAAGTTCTTGAAAGGCATTAGAGATTTTTTTAAAAGACTATCAGAACAGGATACAAAATTCCAGACAAAGGACAGTGTTTGTTTCACATATACAGACCCTTGGAATGAACCAACATACCAATGAACAGGTCTGGGCCTAGCCCTGGCCACGGCTCTGTCAGCAGCAGTATGCACCATAACTTGACCACAGCCCTGCAAGAGAAATACCAAACGGGAAAATTCTAAGACAATGTAGGATGCAGAATGTGTGTAAACAGCAGATTCTCAACACTGGAGCACCACGGTCAAATCATACTGAAGTCTTCCACTGCAGTCCAGCTGACCATGAACTGTCTGTCCAACCCAATGAGAGGTAAAATTAAAGGTGCACAAGTGTTTCACCTTCATGGGGTAAGAAGCTATCTCTCACTGAAACTGTTTCACCTGGAGTGATGTTTTACACTAAATACAGCTTTGACTGTGCCTTGTCCATTTTCCCAACTTGTAATTATGAGCAAGTTTTCTGAGCTTCAGTGTTCTGGCCTCATGAAGCAATGACGCCTTCAGCTCACAATGAGTCAGTTCATTAGAAGAGAACTACATGCTGGGATTGGAAATAACCCAGCTTCTACTGTATGGTTGCTGCAACTGGAAGAGCATTCAGTCACCTCATTTTAAACAAGTTCTGCTTCAAAACTGACTCTTTTGCCCAGTGCCTGTTTTCATCTAACACCAGTCAAGGATGGACTTTTTGTTCAACCGGTGCTTTAGTCACAAAAATACTAAAGCTGTCTTCAGGATGACTGATCAGCTCGCTCTTCAGCAGCCCTCTGAACACAACTGCTAACCATACTTACTACTACTAGTTTGCTACTTAGATGTTGTGGGATCCAGCAGCAAGTGGAGCATGACTTTTTTTTATATATATAGCAAAGAAGAAATCAACTCGAAAGCAAAGCCACAGTATCTGCCAGAGCCAATACGGTGAAGCACTAGCCTAAATTCTGGAGGACTAATAAAAACTGAGAGTTTAACAAGCAGTGAAAACCCTAATATCACTATATTTGCTGGAACATGAGAACTGTCCTGAACAAAATTTTTTTTGTTTTACCTGAAAGGTGTAAAGGTAGCTGCTCAGATCCAAAACATCTGTTGGATCAGCTGACCTTAAACAGCAGATTACATTGTACCAAGAAAAATGCAGAAAGTGGACAGAAGTAAGTGTGAAGAAAGATTCTCATGGCCACTTCCTAAGGAAACCCCCCTGATGTGTTTTTGTCCAGCTAGTATCTCCAAATAGTGGTCCTTCAGGAACGACCCTGTATCTGAGACCTAACTTCACTCTCTATCTGCCTACTGTGAGCAAATGTTTGAGTCAGACTGTCATTAACACTGAATAATATGGGATTGTCAAGGGGGTACGCTCAGTATCTCCTGAATTTTTACAGGGTAACACTCAAGTAGTCCTTGAGCAGCAGCAGGGAGTGGGACCTTCTAGCACTGTGATACCAGGATTCACATGGGATACATGGAAGAGAGTACTTACAGGAGGTGAAGCAAACAGACTGTCCTGGAGTCCAAGCCAGACTCTCCTGCAAGCTGTGAAAAAAAAAAAAGAAAAAAAAAATCACTGTTCAATTACTCGCCCTAAAACAAGACAGGAGATCTGAAGTCTGGCATCCTACAAGAGACAAAAGGTATTGGCTGGAGAGGGCGCAGGGGGAGAGGGAGAGATACCTCTAGGAAGAAGGTACAGGCTGTCTGTTTTATAATTTGGGGGCTAATAAAATATTCTCAAGAGGAAAGAGGGGAAAAAAAAAAAAAAAAAGCTATTCTGGAAAGTTTCCTGGGCGGTTTTGGTATGGGTCCATGGCAGGATGAAGTCACTTGTGCTGCTTTGGCTTAGTTACAAGGAACTTGCTAGGAAGCAAGAGTACCAGGAAAGTGAGCACCTGGAGCAGCTTCTGCCTCCCCCAGTATCACTCACTGGCCCATTCTGGTGTTATTGTCAGGGAAGACAATACACCCTGGAAGGAGGATGTTAAGCTGCTTTACAGCAATGTAGAAGACAACAGAAGCTAGGAAGGAAGGCTCAATGAAGAAGGATGTC